CTCCTCTCCCTCCCCCTGCTGGTTTGCTGGTTACTTCCCCCTTCCCTTCTTTCCCGGCTGTAGCAGGGTCCAAGCTGCCTGCGAGGGCAAGGGAGACGGCGAGATTGGCTGCGGACTGTACAGATCAGCCAGAGAACGGAGTCACTCTGTCTCTCTCTCTCACACACACACATGCACATACACACGCGCGCGCACACACACACACACACACGAGCACACGCACATACACGCATACACTCAAAACTCGGCCCGGCAGCACCGCGGCTGCTCCAGTCCCTGGAAAAGGCGAGCGAGCGCCTCGGGACCGCTGCGCGCACCCGGCTCCGGCACTGCGCCCGACGCAGCGCTGGTCCCCGTCGCCAGCGCGGCCGTTTGGGCCGTGTGTTCCCGAAAATAAAGCGAGTGGGGAGGGTAGAGACAGATCCTGAAAACACCCTGGCCACACACGCCGAGACTTAAGCTCTTTCTCAGCGTCCGAGTGGAGACGGCGCCCGCAGAGCCCTGCGCCGGTGAGGTCCGCGCCGCTGTCCGGGAAGAGCCCACCTGCCGGTCCGCGGTCGGCCAGCGCCAAAAGTGGGGCTCGTCACTGTGCTGCTCAGGCAGTGTCCGGGGCTCCGGGCGCCCTCGCCCCAGCTAGTTTGGAGTTCACCTCTCGGCTCTGCCACCGACCCCTCGCGCCTTTGGAGGGACCCCCGGCAACGCAGAGAGGGTCGCGCAGCGCCAGGACCTCGCTATGGCTGGGGCGCGCAGGCTGCTCTATCTGTGGCTGGGCTGCTTCTGCGTGAGCCTGGCGCAGGGAGAGAGACTGAAGCAGCATTTCCCGGAGCTCCCCAAGACTGTGCCAGGCGACCGCACGGCAGGTGGTGGCTCTGGCCCGGTGCTGCGGCCGCACGACAAGGTGTCGGAGCACATGCTGCGACTCTACGACAGGTACAGCGGCAGCGGCAGGGCCGAGGCGGCGCGAACACCAGGGATCTCCGAGCGGGGATCGCAGTCCCTGCGCCCCCAACCCCTGCGCGAAGGCAACACGGTTCGCAGCTTTCGAGCCGGAGCAGCAGGTGAGTTCCCGAGGCGCCCCCCTTCCGCGGTCCCACCCTAGGCTTCTCCCGGGACCCCCTACAGCTTCCTCGTCTGCCCCGTGCTCTATAGTGCTACCTAGAGACCTTCCGTCACCCTCCGAAGCTGCCCTCCGAGCCCCTTGGTCCAGTCACACCCCACATTTCGCCAGCGGGTAAGCCCAGTTTTTAAGTCCGAATTGAGAGGGAGAAGTGGAGAGGAGAAGGGCGCCGAGCAGTGGCGAGGGGTCGGCTGGAGAAACTGCGTGGAAGCAGGGAAGGGACTACCCCCGTTGCCCAGCGGAGCCCTCCTGCGCTGGGCGCCTGGAGCCCCTCTGGGGCACCTTATGCTGCTGTTCAGAAGTCGGTCGGCGGAAATTCCCTTGGACTGGGCTTTAGCCGTGTTTACCTAGAGGCAGATGTCATTTTTTGCCAACCCCAGGGCACTAGACAGAAAAGTCACACTTGAACTAGACACCTTCCCCTCGCCTTTTAGACGGCCGCTTCTCCAGACCTTGCTCCCCTCTTAACTCGCTTCCTCTGTTACTATATTTGACACTTTCCACTTGATAGTCCCTTGGTGGCAAACACACAAACTAAACCAGGTGCTCGGGTGTTTCGATTATTTAAAACCCATCTGGGTAAATAGGGTTGTACCAGCCCCCTGAGAGGAGTTGGGGAGGGGGAGGGCCGCCGTGGACGTAAACACCTCTTGGAATCTGCCGATGAAAATCTGCTCATCCCATTTTTCAACACACAGATCACTGCGGATTGAAATTCATGGCTTAACAAGGTTTCTCCTGGCCCCTGTGGTGAAGCGAATAACTTATGCTAACAGGCTGCCTCCCTTGTGCTAACAGCTTGAGGGAAAGTTTCCTGGACACTAACTCGGTTTATATGCTTTGAGGATGCACCAGGCTTTTTGGTTCGCTACACTCGTGATAAAGGGAAATATAACTGCAAAGCCTGTCTTCAGTTAACCGTTGAAAAATAGCCAGGAATCTTCAAGCAAGGAGGCCGTGCCTCATGCTCTATCAATTCTGTCAGAATCACTAGAAAGAAGTCTCCCAAAGCTTTGATATGTAGGACTCCTGGAAAAAAGGAAAACTGAAGCATCCATCAAGGAAAGCCCTCGGTTGACCCTGTAAATACACTCTAGAGCTCACAGGCATGATGACATTTACAATAAATGTGAATTATGCTTTCTAATGCAGAAGTCTTTAGCTAGAGTCTGACCTGAACCAGACTTCACTTTCTTAAAACCATGAGCTTAATCTGTAAGGAGCTGGCCTCTGCTAAGGAAAAAGAAACCTGCTCCGCGTTGTCCACAGTATGCCAGCCACTTGGGGAGGCCGTCCTGACAGCTGTCGGCACCAGTGAATGCCCTGTTTACTTTAGTGTGATTCTGAGGGCAGAGCTCAATGAAGGAGCAGGGTGGGAGCGACAAGGATTCGAAGAAGATGGGTGGGCAAGGCAGGTGGCAAAAACGAAGATGCTCAAATCACTGCTACCTTGACATTCCTTTCCGTGGTCATATTCCTAGGGAGTAGCTGAGGCACCCAAGAGATGAATAGTAATTTTTGTATCAACAAGTCTCATTTTTAGTATGAATCACAAGGTTTGGAGGTGGAATGTGAGTTTGTTTCATTCACACATATTGTATAGTTTTTGTATGTTTGTTTTAGACTGAGTGAACCATGAGTGGGAGATGGGTAAGGATTTGAATAACTCAGGACCCATGTACTTTTTGGCTTCAACTCATTCCGTGCATTATAATTTCAGAGTGTCCCTTATCAGCCTCACTGTAGTCTTATACCGTCAAATGATAAACTCTGATACGGAGGCCAGAAGTTCCCTTGAAATGACGAATTGCAGCTTGAAGCGTATATACAAGGCTGTGTGCCCTGATAAGGAAAGTAATCCCTTTAGCATCCCGGAGACTGTCTTAATGACTTATTCATCAAACGTAGACACTCGTTTTTGTGGAAGCTTACGTGTCATGTTACTACATGGGAGACTCCTGGAGAGGTGATTCACGTTGGACCCCTTCCAAGACTGTTTAGTTACTAACACACTAAAAAGACCTTATTATAAGGCAGTTCTGGCTCTAATAAGGCAGGACTCCAGGAAGATGCTAAGGCTTTCACGTGTGTCCCTGTCCTTTATCTATACCCTTCATCTTGCGACATATGTTCTGATGTAGGTGAAAGATACTGTCTGCATTAATAAATTAAGTGTGTTTTCTGGTCTGTAGTGTTTAGGTTTTACAACATTTGGGCATCTCTCTACCAACGATGCTACAGATTTTAATGGGAGGTCAGGTGGTGTGCTGCATATATGGAGTGGCTGCTGATCCGGCAGACTTTCCAAGTGCTTATTCAGGCTGAGGTATAGCCTCAGAGCCCTATTTGCTCCTTAGAACATACCTGATTAAAATTATTTATTGTTCTAAACCTAGAATATCTTTGGTTGAAATTTAGCTGCTGTGGTCTCCCTCTGATTACTTTCTACTTAAACCATTACTTGATGGTGGGTGGCATTCATCCTAAGTACACTTTCTGCTAACCCCTTCTCTCCTCCCTCAACGCTGTGCAGTGGGTGTGCCAAAACCGTAAGTTTGGAAGGCTCATAAGTCTTTTTGTGATGTGTAAGGTTTACATAAAGATAGGTTTTATCTTTCCCTTTGTAAAAGGTAATTTACAAAATTATTGATGACAGGGAAGTTCAGCTTTATAACAACACACCATCTTGAAGGAAGACAAGAGGGATATAAAATCAGCTTTTATTTTAATCTTTGTTTAAGTTGTCCTTGGCTACTATGTAATAAAAGAAGAATATTTTACATGGGGTTTTCTCCTGGCTTGATCCTTTAAGATACATACTTTGTGTTCATTAGTTTCTCATCGTTCTCATGGTCACTTAATCTTATTTTTCTTAATCATAAATTTAACCTCTGTAGGAAAAACCATTAAAATACACATGCCCTTATTAGAAAACTATCATTATTTTAACTTATGACATATAACTACAAAAAAGATTTCATTTCAGTGGACATGTGTCACCTTTTTAAAAAAAAAAAATCACACAGACTTCATAGATAAAAGAAATGAAAATTGGGGTTATCTGGACCCAAAAATAGCTATCTTCCTCCAATGAAAAAGGGGAGAGTCTTTCCTACTATGACCAAAAATCCTTAAAAATAAAGAATTATTATCTGACATCCTTCTGAAGTGAAAGGCTAAAATATAAGACTTTATGGAAGATATAAGTAGGGGCTGAGGATCGTTCCAAGAGGAGCCATTCCTATAAAATACATAGGCCAATGGGAAAGCATCACTTTTGATGGGTTTGACAGCAAGGGGATGTAATAACTTTATTAAAACGTAGTTACCTTGAAATTCCTAGCACCTAGAAGCGAGGCTTGAAATGAAACAGTGCTTAGATGATCTGATGCTTTTATTCAAAGGACAATAGTACATCTGCAGGGAGGGGCTGGATGTGCAGCTGCTTTGAATTACACGCGACTTTGAATACATGATAGCCCTTAATGAAGTTTTTACTGTAATAGGCAGGACAGCTTTACAATCTCTGACATTTAGAAATCCATAATACCATGAATTCCTGATTATCCATGCTAATGGAAAGGAGAAAGAGAATGAGTTACATAAAAATTATTTAAATTTAGCTCCTTAGTATAGTTAGATACATTCAGAGACGAAGAGACCATGAGGGTCAATGAAAAAAATCCCCTAAGCAGATGATTCACTCAGGGAGTATTTGTACATTCAAAATATATACATAATTCAGAGTATGTTAAGAGGGTTACATACGTTTTATCTAAGCAATGGAAGTTTATAAGCACTCGATTGACCTGGATCAGATTTTCTAAAAATTAAATAAGAAGATGAATGTCAAATCTGCTCTTAAGCATTTTGGAATTATACAATTTTGTATTTGGAAGAGGCTCACCCTCTTCCTTATATGGAAGAAGAAATGGGCATCATGATGTATTTGCCAAACAATTTTTCAAACATACTGAGCTGATCTCAAATCCTATTATTTATAGTGATGTGATCTAATTTTCTAGGACAAAATTTTATAAAAAGGGGTCTTTTGGAAGACGTGAACAGGTGTTACATAAAATTGGGTTCCATGGTCAAATAAGTTTGAAAAAAATGATGTTTACTTTGCCACGTGACCTTTCAGGGCCTTTAACTGCAAGTGAGTCCCCTTAAGAGTGAGACTTACTCACTTTCTTCCTGAGAGAGCATTTCAGAGAATTGTGGTTCTAAGATACCTAGTTGGGGAAACACTGGATCAGAGCTTTCCTCATATCTCAAAAAAGAAGATATGAAAAGTTCAAGTGAATATCACAACTGAAAACTGATTCATTTCTCATTTCCCATTTAGTACCTATCACAGGATGTTTACTGACATTGTTAGCTTTTGAACTTGGGTCCAACTGGCAATGTACTGTCTTCCTGCTTTCATGTTTTAAACTTCTCTGAATATAATTTTAGAGTCTCTCTGTCATTAAATTTTGTTTTCCCTGTTTCTTTATGAAGTCTCCTTTACTGTTTTATTCTATGGGATTAATATTTATTATTCTACAACTAGTATTATTCTTTTAAAAGAAAAGCTGTTCTATTTGTGGAAAAATTCGCCAGAAATCATACACATCACCTTGTTAATGTTTTATCACCATTAATACCTTGATTAAAGACAATTTACTCAAGACACCTATCAAATACCTTATATAATCCCCCTTGTTTGTTTTATTTATTAGATATAATTATATATTAGATATTAATAATAGATATAATAAAAATCATACCTATCCAAATGCCTAGTGAAAATTATTGAGCAACTTCGCATATACTTTCTATTGACTTTCAGGATTTTTGTACTGCAAAATCAGAAGTTTTTCCCCCAAATTTTGATGGTTTTCCTATCTATACAATTTGTATAGACTAGTAATCAGTATCTTAATAACTTTATTTCGG